CTGATTATATTTAATTCAGCTCCAAGGGTCTTGCAGTCAAGCTTTTTCAAGAGAAATCAGTTTATGCACTGGCATTGTATAACCTCCTAAATATTATTTGGTTGGCTTCTACTATAAATAAATACTTTAAAGGTTTATATTGATTTCTTATTGCTTGACAGCGTAAGTTTTACTATGCTGATAGTACACAGATGCTAAACTCCTTTCAAAATAGTTGGTTTATGACATTACATTGCAATTACAAACTTCTTTTTGTTTGTAGATAACTCCCATGCATGTGGAGAATGCTCGAGAAGTCCCAGAGTATGAGATTGATCCTTCTGAACTCGATTTTACTAATAGTGTTTGCATAACAAAGGTGAGGTTTCAAATTTCCTTCTCTCTATAGTTAATAGTGTTTTGTAACCGGATTTATCCTTCTGCCTTTTGATGTAATTTAGTAAGTCAATATACCTTGACTGATTTTATGTTTCATAATTTATATTGAATATTTCAGGGAACTTTCCGGATTGCATTATGGCGTGGAACTCAGGTTGCTGTCAAGACACTTGGGGAGGAAGTGTTCGCTGATGATGATAAAGTGTGGGTTTGTCTACTCATTCACGTCAGTTGATTATTCAGTTATCACTTTTTAATCTCAGTTGTTTTTTATTTGTTGGTGTATGTTTATCAGAAAAGCATTTCATGATGAGCTTACATTGCTTGAGAAAATAAGGCATCCAAATGTAGTTCAGTTTTTGGGTGCTGTAACCCAAAGCACCCCAATGATTATCGTCACAGAATTTCTACCCCAGGTTAGTTTTTGAAAAATTAATTTACTAGTTGACTACTGGTTATCTTATATATCGGTGAGCTGAATACGATGTGGTTAGAAATTTGTCATTTTAAAGTGACAACGTAGTTTCAATGGGGCTAGTCAAAATTCAATATTGTGTAGGAGTGCACAAATCATCAATAATAATTGAGAACTCAATGTAATAAACATTTACTCTGGGACTGATTAATTGTTGATGAGCATGGGTTGTTTGCAGTGGCCAAACAGGATTTGTCCCTCTAAAGTAAGGAGATGTGTAAAATGTAAAAGTTATGCATTTTCTACCATATATTAAAAGTCAATGTAATTCAAGTTGATGATGGATAGATTCTCACTTTTTTACTTATCTTCTCACTATAGAGAACTAAATCCAGACTGACAAATATGTTCCTGTTGTATCTAGAAGTAATAAATATCTATGCTGAAATAATTTAATGAAATGATAAAGGGTACCTGTTTTAACCCAGCATTGCTGTTGGTTTGGATTTTCGTTTCTCTTTATTTGAGGATTCCACTTCAGTTTAGTGAAACAATGAAAAATACGAAGTGTATATATCTTCTCCCATACTTATGTGCGTGCTGACCTGTATTTTTAAAAATGTAACATCTAACAATTTGGAATGAACTATCTTCTATTCAGGGGGATCTTCGTGCATACATGAAGCGGAAATGTGCATTAAAACCAGTAACAGCTGTAAAATTTGCACTTGATATTGCTAGGTTAGTTAAGAGCTTTCTTATCATGCATGCATAACTTGCTTTCAATTGGTTCTCAAGGAAACAAGCTCTCTTGATTATTTTATTTTTGAAGAGTTGAATATTGCAAAATTTTCTCCTATATTAACAATTTGCATTTAAATAATACGTCTGTATTTTCAGGGGTATGAACTATTTGCACGAACATAAACCTGAAGCCATTATACACCGAGATCTTGAGCCTTCGTATGTTTTACACACTCCTACCCTGTCTAGTTGATTTTATCATTCTTCCTCCACGTGTGTGAAGTGTCATGGATTTTTCAGTTGAAACATGCATTTTTCATTCATTCTTTGAATGGTTGAAACTGTTTAAAGTTTCTTCATTGTACTTGAGTAAGACAACAGAAATATTTTGCGGGATGATTCTGGGCATCTGAAAGTTGCAGACTTTGGAGTTAGCAAGTTGCTTAAAGTCGCTAAAACAGTCAAGGAAGACAAACCCGTGACAAGCCTGGATACATCATGTAGGTTTTGTTCTACAGCACAGAGCCTTGTAATATTTATCGTTAATCATGTTCTGCATAAAAGCAATATTGCAAACTTATATTTCATAAAGGTTGTAATGTGCAATACGTTGCATACGCTATAAGGAAAAATAAAAAAGAAATGCTGTCTACTAAGTGACTAATAAAGACCTGGGGCTCAATTTTACTAATTTGAATTTATTAATTAATTTTTTAAGTATTGCCATCTTTTTATATTTATAAGTCAATTCGTTTTTATCCTATTCTGAGTGGTTCTGTAACAGGGCGATACGTTGCACCAGAAGTCTATAGAAATGAGGAATACGACACAAAAGTGGATGTGTTTTCTTTTGCTCTGATATTACAGGAGGTAAAATCATTACTGCTTACCTTTGGATGCAGTTTTTTTTTACTTTTTTCATATTTTAGAGATTTTTATTGACTTTTAAGTTAATTATTTACCCTTATTATGCGAATGGTTGTCTCCTCTCTTGTCTTGAAACAAGACTTTNTCAACTTCAAAATTAAAAATATCTTCTTAGAAAGTCAACTTTACCACGCAAGCTGTTATGGATTACCTCAGAAATAGCGGTTCAAAGCAATCCTAAAAGATACGGTCAATGACTACTTTTTTAAAATATTAAAATCCAGGCTTACTTTCTCACTAATTATTACCTAAAATTATCTATGAATTAGTTACTATATATTTTTATTATTTTCTTTTTAAGGATAAACCTTGTGGAGATTATCACAGAAACCGACGCTGTTTATTCCCACGGTCGCTTGCTGGAGTGTGTAGAAATGCAGTGACGTCAAGATTTGAATTACGAAGAATCCGATCCAATAGCAATCCTCTCTTCAAAAATATCAAAACCCGAATCAATCATATTTATTCACATTTCCTTTATCATTCATATTCTCATTCTTATTCTTCTCGACTTTGAATCCAACACATTCACACAGCACGATTACATTTTCTCTCTCTCTCCCAAAACCCTCGCCGCCGCAATGGAAACCAAGAAGCTTCAGCTTCGCTTCTCGCTCGGCCGGCAATCCTCCCTAGCGCCGGAGCGCGGCGGCGCGGGCGACCTGTCGGAGGCGCTGGATCCGACGGTTCGGTTGATGTATCTGGCCAACGAAGGAGACTTGGACGGGATCGAGGAACTTCTGGACGCGGGGAGCGACGTCAATTTCACCGACATTGACGGCCGCACCGCGCTCCACGTCGCCGCCTGCCAGGGACGCACCGACGTTGTTGACTTGCTGCTCCGACGAGGCGCTGAAGTTGATCCGCGAGACCGCTGGGGCAGCACCGTAATTTCACTTCCCTCCTCTTTTCGTTATTCTTACACTAGCTGTCACTGATTTTTGGATTGGATTGTTTAACAGCCTCTAGCTGATGCAATGTACTACAAAAACCACGACATCGTGAAGCTTTTGGAGAAACACGGTGCAAAACCTCCAGTTAGTCTCTTGTTTTCCTTTCCTTCTTGATATTAGATGAAAAATCGTTTGTTATTCGTCTTGAGAGTTTTAGTTGACACGTACTTTTACTGGAAATATTATCTTCGGATAGACTTTTAAGATTTTATTGTAAAAGTGAAACATAGTTAACATGCATAGCCGGGTTGGTGATTGGATAACAATGTAAGAGTTTAAACTGCCTCAGCATGGATTTGGACACTTCCATGTGACATTCCTGTTCTGTGAAATCCGAATCTTTAATTAAAAAAACAAGAGCATATTGAGAGAATTTAAATTGTGAAATGTGGATATCGGGTTTTGACAGTGGAGATTTTCGTCGGAGAGAATATCAGTGAAAATCCCACTCTCTGAGGATTCATTCCTCGTCTGATTATATTTAATTCAGCTCCAAGGGTCTTGCAGTCAAGCTTTTTCAAGAGAAATCAGTTTATGCACTGGCATTGTATAACCTCCTAAATATTATTTGGTTGGCTTCTACTATAAATAAATACTTTAAAGGTTTATATTGATTTCTTATTGCTTGACAGCGTAAGTTTTACTATGCTGATAGTACACAGATGCTAAACTCCTTTCAGAATAGTTGGTTTATGACATTACATTGCAATTACAAACTTCTTTTTGTTTGTAGATAACTCCCATGCATGTGGAGAATGCTCGAGAAGTCCCAGAGTATGAGATTGATCCTTCTGAACTCGATTTTACTAATAGTGTTTGCATAACAAAGGTGAGGTTTCAAATTTCCTTCTCTCTATAGTTAATAGTGTTTTGTAACCGGATTTATCCTTCTGCCTTTTGATGTAATTTCGTAAGTCAATATACCTTGGCTGATTTTATGTTTCATAATTTATATTGAATATTTCAGGGAACTTTCCGGATTGCATTATGGCGTGGAACTCAGGTTGCTGTCAAGACACTTGGGGAGGAAGTGTTCGCTGATGATGATAAAGTGTGGGTTTGTCTACTCATTCACGTCAGTTGATTATTCAGTTATCACTTTTTAATCTCAGTTGTTTTTTATTTGTTGGTGTATGTTTATCAGAAAAGCATTTCATGATGAGCTTACATTGCTTGAGAAAATAAGGCATCCAAATGTAGTTCAGTTTTTGGGTGCTGTAACCCAAAGCACCCCAATGATTATCGTCACAGAATTTCTACCCCAGGTTAGTTTTTGAAAAATTAATTTACTAGTTGACTACTGGTTATCTTATATATCGGTGAGCTGAATACGATGTGGTTAGAAATTTGTCATTTTAAAGTGACAACGTAGTTTCAATGGGGCTAGTCAAAATTCAATATTGTGTAGGAGTGCACAAATCATCAATAATAATTGAGAACTCAATGTAATAAACATTTACTCTGGGACTGATTAATTGTTGATGAGCATGGGTTGTTTGCAGTGGCCAAACAGGATTTGTCCCTCTAAAGTAAGGAGATGTGTAAAATGTAAAAGTTATGCATTTTCTACCATATATTAAAAGTCAATGTAATTCAAGTTGATGATGGATAGATTCTCACTTTTTTACTTATCTTCTCACTATAGAGAACTAAATCCAGACTGACAAATATGTTCCTGTTGTATCTAGAAGTAATAAATATCTATGCTGAAATAATTTAATGAAATGATAAAGGGTACCTGTTTTAACCCAGCATTGCTGTTGGTTTGGATTTTCGTTTCTCTTTATTTGAGGATTCCACTTCAGTTTAGTGAAACAATGAAAAATACGAAGTGTATATATCTTCTCCCATACTTATGTGCGTGCTGACCTGTATTTTTACAAATGTAACATCTAACAATTTGGAATGAACTATCTTCTATTCAGGGGGATCTTCGTGCCTACATGAAGCGGAAATGTGCATTAAAACCAGTAACAGCTGTAAAATTTGCACTTGATATTGCTAGGTTAGTTAAGAGCTTTCTTATCATGCATGCATCACTTGCTTTCAATTGGTTCTCAAGGAAACAAGCTCTCTTGATTATTTTATTTTTGAAGAGTTGAATATTGCAAAATTTTCTCCTATATTAACAATTTGCATTTAAATAATACGTCTGTATTTTCAGGGGTATGAACTATTTGCACGAACATAAACCTGAAGCCATTATACACCGAGATCTTGAGCCTTCGTATGTTTTACACACTCCTACCCTGTCTAGTTGATTTTATCATTCTTCCTCCACGTGTGTGAAGTGTCATGGATTTTTCAGTTGAAACATGCATTTTTCATTCATTCTTTGAATGGTTGAAACTGTTTAAAGTTTCTTCATTGTACTTGAGTAAGACAACAGAAATATTTTGCGGGATGATTCTGGGCATCTGAAAGTTGCAGACTTTGGAGTTAGCAAGTTGCTTAAAGTCGCTAAAACAGTCAAGGAAGACAAACCCGTGACAAGCCTGGATACATCATGTAGGTTTTGTTCTACAGCACAGAGCCTTGTAATATTTATCGTTAATCATGTTCTGCATAAAAGCAATATTGCAAACTTATATTTCATAAAGGTTGTAATGTGCAATACGTTGCATACGCTATAAGGAAAAATAAAAAAGAAATGCTGTCTACTAAGTGACTAATAAAGACCTGGGGCTCAATTTTACTAATTTGAATTTATTAATTAATTTTTTAAGTATTGCCATCTTTTTATATTTATAAGTCAATTCGTTTTTATCCTATTCTGAGTGGTTCTGTAACAGGGCGATACGTTGCACCAGAAGTCTATAGAAATGAGGAATACGACACAAAAGTGGATGTGTTTTCTTTTGCTCTGATATTACAGGAGGTAAAATCATTACTGCTTACCTTTGGATGCAGTTTTTTTTTACTTTTTTCATATTTTAGAGATTTTTATTGACTTTTAAGTTAATTATTTACCCTTATTATGCGAATGGTTGTCTCCTCTCTTGTCTTGAAACAAGACTTTAAACCCTGAAATTGCAAATTAATCAATACATATAAAACCTGTTTGATGAATTAATGCTTGATGAATAATGTTGTGGTAATTGACCAAATAATACATGTTAATTCAATACTCTCTGTCCTTGGTGGTGATTCCTTTTCATATCAGCACATATAACTTTTAGAACGCTGATAATTGATTTTGCTTTCTGAAAGCAGGAAGTCAGAACAGGAATTTATTGTATGTTTTCGATTGCTTTTTATGTTGTTTTATTTTTTGAGCATTTAAAAGCATTTATTGTTACGGAATCCTCTACATATCGTCATATCCTTTACGTATATAATTCTATTATTTCCTTTAGTAAAAAAAAAGTCAAGTCCTAGAAAATAATGCTTTTAGAGGTGTATCATTTTGCTGTTGTGCATCCTTTGTTGCTTTCATCATTCAAATTCCTTCAGTGTTATTACAGCATATTGAATTTTAAAATAGTTGGTGGTATATTTTACGCATAAGACCTCTTCCGCTTATCAAGTATACTATAGGATTTTTTTATCAATGTAAACTATGGGGTGAGTCTATGGACAGGTCAAGCACTCGTGACTCTTGAGCTCTGCCTACTTGGCACTCATATCTTCCTCGAGATATGTATATAATACATAACCGTTATATGCAAAATTGCATATTTTAAGGTTGATCTAACGGACAAGTTCTAGGGATTTGAGCTATCCACAATTGACAGGTCGAAATATAAAAATTTATGTATATGATTTATATATTCATGATCATCTTGGTACGATGCCATGCCTAATAGTTTGCTGTGGTACCAATATGCTTGGTTCTTGTACTTTTTATGTGAATGCTAAATGTTCATTTTCTCCAACTGTTTTGCTGATAAACTTAGTTATTTTATTTGTGGATCATGGGCTATTTGTAATCTAGAATATTAATGACAACGAACAGTGGATTGTTTTGTAGAGATGCCCAGCAAAATACTGACGGAACTTGTATGGTTTTCTGTTCCTGTAGATGATTGAAGGTTGTCCACCGTTCTATGAAAAACCAGAAAACGAAGTTCCTAAAGCGTATGTTGAAAATGAGCGCCCACCATTTAGAGCGTTGCCAAAGCTTTATGCTTATGGACTAAAAGCGTGAGGATTTTAAATAAATTTTATTGGCAGTAGATTTGAAAGTTTTGTAGGAGGATAGAAGAATAAGTTTTTTACATTCAGGAAATCTGATTTGTCCATAGGTTAATTGAGGAATGCTGGGATGAAAAACCACAGAGAAGGCCAACATTTAGGCAAGTAATTAGGAGATTGGAAGACATCAACGGCCATCTTGTACAAAAGAGGCGCTGGAAGGTACCCCTTTTTTGTGCATACATTTATTTGATCAACATTAGACCTAGTTGTGATAGTGTAATTTTGACATAATAGTAATTTGTGACACCAAACTAGATTACGAATTTTAAAGTAAATTTAGATGGTTTTTCTTTTTTAATTTTTGTTGATTGAAAAAGAGTAGTGCAAGAGCTTTATAGCTCTATGCCACGTCCATCTTCATTCATGAGTTAATTACACAATAATTCAAAAGATGACTAATAGTATTCGGCTGCTCCTTTCCTTTTTCCATCCTAAGGGATATCCATTCTGGAGAATTTATTTTTGGTCCATAATCTTTGGAGTTGGTTTCCATCGTATGATTCCAATAGTCCACGGTCTCTGACTATTTTTTACCCATCTCACTAGTGGAATACCCTCATCAAAAGTGAGGATATTGTTCGATAT